AATAGATCAAGACAGGGTTCTCAATATTAAAATATATATATTCGACCAATCTATTCTTTATTTTTTTTTAACCAACCAACTGTTTAATTTATATAATAGATCAAGACAGGGTTCTCAATATTAAAATATATTCAACCAATCTATTTATCTGAATTATAAGATTCAAGAAAAATGTGATATCGACACTCGACAAGGGGTTAATGCTAAAATCTGTAAACTCTTTAATAAAAGAATTACCTCCTTTGCTTTCAACTAGTTGAAGAGAGTTGTACTTTTTAGTTAATTTGTAGTTTTTAATGAGATAGAATAAAAATTGCTAATGGAGACATGGTAGCTAATAGATCCTCCTTTTTAAATTCATCCGAAGAGTACATCAAAACCGTTAATTTCGTGTATGCAATAGGATTAAAGTTGAAAGTAGTAGTTTAAAGAGGAGTTGAAAGGGCGCATTCCTGAAGCGCTTCCAGTTACACGGTACTCGGTAACGATGGCGAGATTCTTTCCTCGTTCTTGAAACGAATCTCTTCTTTCGCTGGCTCTGTAAGACACTCGGATTATCGGTAATCGTAAAAATGCCGTCAGATTCGTGCCAAACGGAGCAATCCGACGCTTTGCGCGACTATCTCGTTTAAACGGAGACGTTGATCCTCGTTACGTGAAAAAATGTCCATCTCGGAAAGAAGGAAAATAAAAGAAAAGAAACGAAGCTCGCTGTAACGAAGCTGTAAATGAGGCCCGTTCAACGCGGCGAAATTCCGCGAGGAAAATTAGCGTGGAAGATAATATTATTAACGAGGGTATTATAGAAGACAAATTGGCCAGTTGAAATCGTTAATATTCGATCTTGAAATTTTCTACGTAAATGGAACGTAATTAGAAAAAAAAATCTCGTCTGAAAAGTTGGATACTTTGTCCAGTGATTACTACGGTCATTATGTTCTCCGGGCTATTAAGGAATTTCTTTTCTGTAAGGATTTTAAAGTCAAATGACTACCTGCAGAAGTTCCTTTGAGACTTTGTTTTCGAGAGAAGTCAGTTTCGCGAATTAAAACTTAGCTTGTTACATTGACGGTGTTAAACGTGTAACTTTTAGATAGGCTTTTCCCCAACTTTCTGTCATTATACGTTTGTCGAGGACTCGTTAAAAGGCTCTCGAAGAATTTCCTTTGTGATATTTCTTCGTATCGAATTTAAGCGAAATTCAAATTCAGGGTTGAAAGGGTTAATGAGCGATATGACGGAGCAGCTAACAAGCCTGATACTCAATTTCCTGTTTATCGATTATGTTACAGCCTCATTCACCGAGATACTAGACCAGAACCAGCAATAAGGTGTTCCACGTTGAGAGGAGCCACAAGATTGCCATCGGCGCCGGATCATCGCAGCGAGGCTCGTCTCAGGACGGACCCAAAGGTGTTGGTTTTCGTGGAAACGTTATACTCGATGCTAGGAAAGAACATTGCGGAGCTGCTCGTCTCTAATCGAATCAAGTAAGTCTAACATTAACCTGGATTTTTATCTAACAGTTTTCATACATGTGTCAGGTTCGAAATTAATGAAGCACATAACTGGCCGACAAGCTCGCTGTATATTTTATCAAATACACCGCATGGATCGTGTTATAATAGAAACACGTCGGGTAATTAAATGTCTGAAGGCACTCTTAAATTAATTCAAACGGGCGCGTTATCGTTCGCTCATGCAGAAACAGGTCGAACGAGCGATAAAGCAGGCGGTCAACGTTTAAAGACAAAAATGGAACGTCTAATAAATCATAATCGTCGAGGTCGATTTTTATCGCCGGTTCTTGAACGATCGATCTTCAAACTCTTCTGTGTCGTCGATGAAAAAATGCAAAGAGCAAAAATATTTACAGTGATGCTTTTTGTCGCGATATTTTATTCGTGTCTTATGGGTACATATTTATGATTTTCAAGTTATCTGTGGTAACAATTCGAGCTAGTTAGTCTGGGAAATTAGGACCACTTGTCAGAGAGAGGAATTACATCTCCTCAAACTTGGAATTAGAAACAATTAGCATTCCCATGACTCGAGTTTATTAAAGTGTTTGTAAAAATGAATGAGCTGATCTCCAACGCGTTGACACAATATCAACATTCTTGAAGTCTTATGTCACTGTACTACTCTACAAAATAAAAATTAATTGATTCAACTTGTTATTTCTACCTTCCTCAAGTTTGTTCTATAGCTCATCTGTTAACAAAGAGATAATTCAGTTTTCAATTGCGTCTATGGTATCGTTCGAATCTCATAATAGATGGCAGAGCGTTGAATGGACTGCATTCAAGCAAATGAGCATTCTAAAATGCAGAATAGTTAGCAGTTTCGCGAAAACTAGGCCGTTCTCGTTTAGCTTCGAACGAGGCTGCTTGGAGTCGTTGCAGCTAATCGTAGAACGTAATTTAAGTATCCACGGGTCTAAACTCTCGATTTCAACTCGATCGCTTCTTTGTTCCGCGGTTCGCGTGATATCGCGCGATTACTGCTTCTTGCAAACTGTGCAAGTACATGATAAAGCGGAGAAAATATCCTGGAAGAGAAGTCGGGAAAGAATTTTTTCATAGCCTGCAATATTGAAAAGAGTAGAAGGTAGAAATACGGAGAATATTTGTATTGCGTCTTGTACCTCACAATTCGCGTATTTTCTCTTCTTTCTCTTGCAAATACTGGAATATTCAATTGAAAAGATTAAATGTTGCTGCGTTTCGCATGCTTTCAAATAACTTAAGCTTTAGCGTACTATAAATTAGAAATATTATAAATAGTATAGAACGTGCTTGGATTACACGTTCGTTTAATTCCTGTGTCTGTGTTAGATAAAACATAGCGTACATAAAACATGCGGTATCTAACGTTAGATGTAGAATTTTCATTTTTATAAATCAGCGCAATCGTGAACACGAATCTGGACAGAAATTATTAACTGAATAAGTTCTCATTAAATAGCAGTATCTTAGTGAATAATATCTTAATGTTTGTAATGTAGCAAAGCAGAGAAAGGAAAAAGGTTGCGATGTAAATCCCAAGGAGAAACTTTTTCGAGCCAATAAATATTGTCCGAAAGTTAGTTCCGTTAACCCTTAGTGACGTGACAGATAAAACTCGGGGAAACATCCCATTCCTAAAGGGATTCGTGAGAAAAAAATGCCTCTCCATTTACCCCCCGATTCGAGCCGGTTTTTCATCGCCGAAAATTACTTTTGTTCAACGTACTGAATTTTAAACGACACTCTCGACCCGCCTTAGTGGATCGACGAGGAAAAACGAATCTCTAAATCACCGAAGGATTTAAATCTCGATCAGCCGGTGCGCGCAGCCAGAGAAGACTTCTCTGCCCATAAAGAAGAATCGATCTATTAACGGTACACGCATATATCCATTAAAAGAAAGCCTTCTAAAAAGAGGCGTGACAGGGCCGGATTTAACGACGGAGAGAAGCTTTCGAAACCCAATTCGAGCTGAATTAACGGAGATTTTCCGTCGTCCGACACGAATCGATTTCCATCGCTTCTGTATTTAAACGAAAATACTATCTACTTCCAATTTAACGCTGCGCGATCGTTGGTAGGATGTCAACGTTGTTTACAATTAGGATTAACATTTATTTGATCGATGATCTGAATTGCTAATTAATACTGATGAGTTCATTTTTCTTATTTGAGACTTACGCAATAGCTGAGCGGGCGTAGAAATATTTTCACGTCGCTTTTGCAAGTTTACGAACTTGTAAGCCTTTGAATCTAAGCTACGTTGAAATTTATAGATTCGAAGATTTGGCTATTGTAATCACCTACTAAAACACGCTACAATTCCCATTTGGTTGTCCAAAGTGCCTGTAACACGTGGCAAACGAAATTCCTGGCCTGCAGTCGTCTTCGACTAAGGGGTTAATCATGAGCTAGGGTCATATACGTAACGCGTGGTCCGAGTTACGTATTCGCGATCGTACGCAGGGTTGTAAGTCTAAGCCCGTTGAACCGATTCTTGGATAATCACGTAGTAATGACCAACTAATGCAACGTGATGGGAGTCCAAGCCTGGACGACTAGGAGGAATTACTCTGTATGCAGCAGCTCACCGCGAAGTTGGATAGACAGGAGCGAATAACGGGTAGAAACAGACAGGGACAACGATATAACCTTCCCAGGGAGATCCGGATGAAGCGTCATAGGTGGATAAAGTGGCGGGAGCAGAGTATGACAGAGAGCATGCAAGTTACGTGGCTCTGTATACGGTGGTTCTCTCGGTGTGTTCCATCAGGGTGGATCGTAACGCGAGCCGGTGGTGTGACAAAGGGGTGTGTAAGTCGGTCGACGCGTTCGCGTGTTTTGCGTGTGCGCGCGTGTGTGTCCGTCATCCGATAATCGGAAAGCCAACCGGCGCACCTGTACGCGTCTAACCAACGCGTGAGCCAGAGACCGACATAGGCTGTGGACGAGCCTCTCGTTTGCTTTATCCGGTGCAATTTCATAATCGATAATCGAGACCGGGACACGGGGTGGCAGCGCTGGACACTCGCCGGACAACATCCAGCTGCGTTGCGGGATACACCGGCAAATTTTGTTTTCAGAGATTGCTAACAGCTGCGAACGGATCCGCGATATCTGGATTTCGCTAACGACTCGCTTTTTGCTTTCGATACTGACGGAGCTCCTTCCGCTTAACGCACCCCTTATTAACTCGAATACTCGATGTTCAAGATATTCGTCGTACACATATTTATATTTTCATATGAACTTATATAAGATATTTTCTCAAATTTATAAAAAATATACAGCCATAAATATCGCATATGTTATGGACATTAAATGTAAAAAGCATGAAAAGTGTAGAATATAAAATATACAAACGATTTGCATATGGAGAACTCCATCGTGTAAGGAAATCGTATGCAAAGTAACCCTTCAGCCTCGCTCGACATAATCTTTAAACCACCCACTTGTCCAAAGCATCGCACAAAGCCCTCGAACGTGCACGAGACAAAAACACGCAGGAGATATATCATTTATGCAGTTCCTCCCCCGTTTAAACAGCCGTTTGTCCTGCGATATGTTAAAAGTGTCGTGAACAGGCACGCACGCACTATTTCATCGATATGCGAGAGACAAGGCTGATCGTTCCTTATCCGAAAACAATGTATCAGGTGATATCGATCAAGCTCATCCCCCATGCAGGGTGGTTCGCGCCCTTCCTTTCCGTTTTCGCCGGTTTTGTTATTTTTTACCGTGTCCCCGGGTACTAATGCAGTGTGCACCACGACACTCGTTACTCGTGACATCGACATGGGGCGAGGGTGGGTCGGCTACGGGGTAAGCGTTCCATGCCACGTCGCCGGGGGTTGAAACACCGATCGACCCTTTGTTACGTGTATTTTTTCACCGCACGCACGTTACCGTTTCATTCGCGCGTCTGGCTCTCTTCGATCTTTTCATGCTGCGCCCCTAACCCTTGCGGAGGGGTGCCGTTTGTGTCTGAATGAACGAAGACTGTTCCGTGAAGAGCACTTGAACTTTCGATGAAAGGGTCTTCGATCGATGCTGCGAACGTCAGGGTCGGAAATTTTTCTGCCGGAGTCAAGAAACTTTGGAGTTTAATTCGAGATGCAACTTCGGGAAGTCGGGTCTTTAGCGATGTACGAATTTGAGGATTTTTGTTTTTGTAAAATCGGAAGTTTCTGATAATTGTCTAACTTCACAATTTGACGTTTTATAACTTTGGAGTTTAAAACCTAAATAAATTCAGAAATTTAAAGATTCGACAAATTACTATTCAAAGACATTCCTACAGTAGATAGCTTATCTTTCACGATTGAAAAAGTATCACCTACCATTACCCTATCAGCCATCGCCACCTAATAAGAGTGGTCGATTCTCATAAAAATTTGAGAATAACACGGCAGCGAACGATAACTACGACCCTAAATAACAGGAATCAGCGCTGCATGTATCGTTTTCTGATCATTAAACACCAGGAGCCCTGAAAGATTTGCGATTTGGCCAACGGCGCGTGCATCACCCTCGATCTACCCTGAAACATCATTAACGAGGGTGGAGTCAGTGTTCCAACCCCTATGCAGAACCGACACGGAATACAGCTTCATAAATACGCGACATTTCATACGTACTGTCTGCTCGCCGTGACGCTTGCTTCGGGACATGACGTACGAGCGACAGCCACCGGACTTCGCGGATTTCCGTTTGAAATAAATATGTATCTGCCTGCACGGTTTCCGACAGAGCTGCTACTGTGTACGTGCGTCTGCGTTTATACGCGTTTTTCCCTTTTTTTCATTCACGTGGTTACACGCGCGAAAAACAGGGAAATTATGAACGCCGACGGGCAGAGAATTATTGCACCGTTCTACGGCTGGACCGGTGCCAGCGAATCGAAGAATAGCTCGCTCGCGTTTCCTCGAATAATATTTACCAACAGGAAGTGGGATTCGCGGGAAGGGATTAAGGCGTTCGAT